CTCCACTCCCTTCCAATGCATATTTGTTGGGTGATAGGTTCTTGGTTGGTTCGTTCCCATAGTTCCTTGTTGCTTATTCTGACTATTCTGGCCATCTGATCTTCAGTAACAAGCCAGCGTAGGTGGCAGTTGTTGATGAATGTCTGTAGTTTATTGGAAATCCCTTTCGTAACGCGCTAAGTCTCTGAACCATCACACTTAAGCACTGACTTCACGTTGGTGTTGAAAATGCGGATTTTGTTCCACACGCTGAGTGCAGAAGATCTCCACACTGGTTTCAGGCTAATGAACGCCTGTCTTGCTTTTCCGATCCTGGCTGACTTTGACATCCTCGTCTGTGCCGCCTGTAGTTGAAACAGTGCTTCTTAGATAGGTGAAGGAGGTTACTTCCTTTGAGTTTCTGCCGTTGATGGTGATTGGAGTTTGTTGTTGGTGGTGGTGCGGTATCTTCATCACCTCTGTCTTCTCTATATTCACCTGAAGTTCCGTCTTCGCTGCCTCTTCTATCAACTTGTTAGTTTTTGCCTGTTGATCTTCAAGTTTGTGTGACATCAGGTACAAGTCATCGCTGGCGAAATCCAGATCTTCTAGGTTCTTTCCCGCAGTCCAGCGTATCCCCCTCTTCTCGCTGCCTACTGTTTGCTGCATGATCCAGTCCACCACAATCAGGAATATCATGGGGGATAGTAGGCAACCTTGTTTCACTCCTGTCTTCACTTCAAAAGCATCACTGAGCTTCCCATTGTGAATTACTTGACATGTGGCATCTTCATATAGTTGTTGAATGAAGCGGATAAAGGTTTGTGGTATTCCGTAGTAGTGAAGCAGTTTCCAAATTACCTCTCGGTCGACGCTGTCAAAGGCCGGCCTTCTCAAAGTCGATAAAGCTGAGGTAGAGAGTTGATTGCCATTCTATGCTCTGTTCTATGATGATGCGAAGTGTTGCAATTTGGTCGGCACATGATTTGTACTTCCTAAAGCCTGCCTGTTCTGGTCGTAATTTTGAATCCAGTGCATCCTTTAGTCTCTCCAGGATGATGCGGCTTAATATTTTGCTTGGTTTAGGCGGACAGGAGAGTGATTCTGCGCCAGTTCTTGCAAACACTGAGGTCTTTTTCCCTTCTTCGGCAGTTTGACAAGGTAACCCTTCTTCCAATCTTTTGCCAGGTACCTTCTCTTCCTTCCACACCTTCTGCAATAGTGGTGTGAGTATGTCCGCTGTTGTCTCTACGTCTGTTTTCAGTGCTTCTGGCGGGATCCCATCTGGTCCTGCTGCTTTCCAACATTTCAGTAGCTTTATGGTGTTCAGGACTTCCTTTTTTGTTGGAGGATTTATGTTCACTTGTAGTTCAGTGGCTGTAGGTGGTATTTCTGGACGAGTTGTTGGTGCTGGTGGTGGTCGACTCAAGAGCTTCTTGAAGTGGTTTGCCCATTGTTTCCTTTGTTTCTCTTCTTTCGTAATTAAATTTCCTTCATCATCTTTTATTGGTTTCGTCTGCGTTGATCTCTTCCCAGATAGTAACCTGGTTATTTGATACAATGTTGTCAGGTCTCTCCGACCTGCAGCCTGTTCTGCTTCACTTGCCAGTGTTTCGTAGAAGTGTCTTTTGTCTTTGCACTCACTCTTCTTCACTTCTTTGTCCAGTGTTTTACACATTGTACTCAGTTCCTCTTTTCGTTGTTCATCCTTGCACTGGTTTATCTTCTACTTCACCATCTTCCTCTCCTCTATCAGCTTCCATGTATCCGTCGAGATCCATTCCTTATCTTCTTTCTCCTTCCTTCCTAATACGGCTGTGCAGGTTTCTTTCCACATAGCTTTCAAAGACTTCCAGTGTTCTTCCACACAGGTTTCTTCAGGGATGTTCCTCGATATCTCCCATTTTGTCTTGATGGCTGCTTTGAAGATCTCCTTTATAGTTTCATCCTTCAGTTTCCGAGTGTTGTACTTGAACTGTGGTCTATCACCAGCTTCCTTGAAGGCTTTTAACTTGATTTGGATTTTAGGTTCCTTGCACTAGATAGTGGTCTGAACCTACATCTGTTCCTCTTCTTGACCTTGTGTCAAGTAGGCTGCGTCTCCACTTTCTTCACATTGAGATGAAGTCGATCTGGTTTTTAGTGTGTCCATCTGGTGAAATCCATGTCGCTTTGTGGATATTCTTGTGCTTGAACACACTGCCTCCAATCACGAAATCGTTGAATGCACAGAATTCTGCAAACGATTCTCCATTCTCATTCATCTCACCGAGCGCTTCTCGACCCATGGTTAGTTCTCTTCCTGTGTTGTCCACTCCCAGTTTGGCATTCATGTCACCCATTAGAATTTTGATATCGCCAACTGAGGTCTTGTCCAGTGTTGATTGAAGTTGTCTGTAGAATTCCTCCTCCTTCTCTTGATCTGCATTATTTGTAGGTGCGTAGTGTAGCATTGTATGATTGTGACCTTCCTTCCTTTTGAGTTGAATCTTGCTGCCATGTTTTTTATCCTGGAGGAGATTGGTTCCCACTGCATGAGAGCCTTCGATGCTGTTAGGGACATCATGATAGCCACTCTTTTCCTCAGTTTTTTTGTGTTTGTCGTCTGGGTGACTTTTTCGCAGTAGAGCATTGATTTTTTTCTGCAGTTGAAGTTTGGAGAGTCCACTTCCATTCCATCTGCTTTCGCAAGTTCCAAACACTTCAATGTGATACCTCTTCATCTCGTTTGCAATCTGGGCTGCCTTGCTGGGTTCAAACATTGTGCGGACATTCCATGTCCCCACGTTTACTTTCGCTTTCATCGAGGGAGAGAAGACACATCGGCCAATTGGCTTCCCGAAGGCTTTCACCAACTGGCGTCATTTCGCCTCTCCGATTCCAGCGAGGAATAATCTTGTTATTATTTTTCATATATCGTTTGTGCTTTGAAGTTTCTTTAGCGGTTAGATTTGTTTTACGTGGTAGGGTTGCTAGCCCTATGCCCAACCTTCCCTCTTTACCCAGGCTTAGGACCGGCTAGTAACTAGTGAACTAGTTAACCAGGCGAGGTTACTTAAACTATTAGAAATGCAATATTCTTTGTAGACTGAGTTGTAGCTATCGTTTCATTTCGAAACTTCTCTTTGTTATAACGAAAAGAATAGTTGTTCGGATGGGAAGAAATTCTCCGTTTTGTAGGATTGTTATTCTGACATTTCCTAAATACTTCAATATCGATTGAATGGAAGAGTTTTCCTATATTGAGTAGCATAAAAACGTTGTTATCGAAAGTTTAAACTGCTGATTCCAACACCTTACAAAAGTTGGTATATATACTAAGAATTGGGTATATTAGCAACAAACAAGCGAAGTGCAGGAAAATACATTACACATCAATTGCACAAATAGTGCAGTAGCTGATATGTTCACGTCTATACAATTCATGCAGTCTAGTTCATCTAGAGAAACGAATATCAACAACTGCTACTGATTATTTAGTATGCGATTACTGAAGTCAAAAAGACTTTTGCCACGGATTAATCTCAGCTAGAGAACCACTGAACATCAGTTGCGATCCAGTTTGGGATTTCTCAGCTCTAAGTATCCAGCATGCCTTTAAAGGTCTAACCCCAGGCAGTCATGTTTCATGGACAGTACATCGTCATTCAGTCAGTGGGTTTGAATCCAATGAATCACATTTCCAACTTTTATCAATTCGGGATAAAAGGCAGCCATAGGTGAGTATTTATCCTCACATCTAACTTGGCTGATGTGACAGACCTTCAGGAAGTACATCTCGGAAAACGTTACTAGTAAGTATCACATTTTTATTCAGTTTGGAGGTTGTGGGGGTGAATTTTTGATAAGTCCCAAAATAGGAAGATACAGCTGTGCAATAGTTCTTTGGCTGATTCGATCCATGACGGGAACCTTTTGAAAATCAATCAATTCCCTATGAACCTACAAAGTGAATTACCGAAGTGCTGAATGAAATGACGCCAGCTAGTAACACTTCACTACTCCTTCGTGTGCTGTAGCTACAACAAAAAACCAAAGACGCTTTCCGTTTTGAAGATGCTTTAAAAATTGGTCAAAAGTAATCATGTATAGTTTTATCCGATTAAAAACGGTGTGACCTGTAGTATAAGACTACACAGCTATTCGTTATGCACATCACTATCAATATGAGGGCAGATACTCAACGATGACATTGGGTGATGGTTGCACTATGTCGTGAACTGACAGAAGGTGAAAATATGGACCATTGGAATCCGGCCCAGTGCCTCAATGGTAATATGCAGAGCACGGAACCTGAAGGTCCTGGGTTCGATCTTTGGCGGGGTCATGAGTGTGGAATACTCAGAAGTCCCATACATGGACGAAGCAGCTACCCAGTGCTCCCAGGTTTTCAATGTTCCTCCAATTGATGTCAGCTCATGATGAATACGAACTTCAGATAAAAAAGTCTGTTGCGTTGGTGACAAATGACACCTTGACCTGACTAAAATAACCCATCCCATTCAAGTAGCTATTTACAATCTCATATAGCTTAAATTTTTCATAAGTATGGCTCCAACGTGTTGCGCAAATGAGCCTCTGGAAACATGCTCAACTATTATGCAAATGAACATCACATCACGTACAGAACAAAGGTAAAAATATCATTTTCTGATAAACACTTTGATTACAAAGTTAGTTTCCAGTTTACAAATAATATTTAGGACATGAAGACAAGTGAAAGTGTGAGTGACTTTAGAGGCCACCCTAACAACTGCAGAGACGACCGACCAGGCTTCAGCATTTCTGGTAAAGTACTTTCTCATAAAATAAAGGGATATAATTGGCTGTCTTACTGGTTGCTAGGATGGCCTTTAAAGTCACCCGAAAATGTGCACACGTCATTTCAAACACATTGATGTCGATTACTGAAGGAAAAGTATCATACAAAAATAGGGCACGAAGTAGAGAAGAATCATGGGATTATGTACAAAATAATCTAAAGTGAAGTGAATAGTTGATAGAGAAATCGTAGAAAAATATTAAATTTGTTGCACATAAAATCCAACTTTTTCATAGACTCTTTTACAGCCAGAAACAGAGAAAAAGTTACTCCCTTCAGGTGCCCACTCAAGTTCATCCATGACAAATTGTACCATATCTTCAGAAAATGTGACATTACGCTTTCTGGCAGCATCTTGTATACATTTTCTTACATGAGTAGGTTGTAATGGCAGGAATGGTACCACAGCTGTGATAAGATGTTTTGAAATCAGTTCAGAGTACTGAAGTCCACCTAATATTGCAAGAAAATAAGATATACAATTATACACTGAGAATATTAAAAACTTTTTTTTCACAGTGAAAATTTAAGTGCACCTTGTGAAGCCTTTATTTTACATTTTAAAAAATATAGTAAAAAAAAGAAAGCACTAATATATGCATTGCTAATTGTTCGAGGTTACAGCAAAAAATAATTAATGTGCTTAGAATAGTTCTACTGAAGCCAATTCACATATTTAACAAGTTGTCTTGATATTGTTTTCCTTAAAGAAACAACTTTGGCTTTTGCTAATTACGAAGTCAATAATTTGTAATTCTATTGGTCAGACAATTATACAGTTTCAACTATCATACTCAACTACAGAGAATGATACATTTTTCGTGTGGTTCGCAGCTGCAAATACAAATAGGTATTCACATATGGTCGTTACTTCTAGTGACATATAGAACCAAAAACTGCCATTCTATTAAAACAGAACCCAAAAACATGGACAACTCAGTCAGTTCGTTCAGTCGCATCAGCAAATTTAAAATGTATACACATACGTACTCACGGAAAATCAGTGTAAGTCAGATTTACTTTTATAGCTAGTAAGGTTTTTATTCACTATTTGAGTGTGGTTCAAATACTTTTGATGGTTTGCGACTCAAAGACAGTCACTGAGGGTAACATATGGAAGTGTGTCATTTTAATCGATTTCAAATTCTACAAGTCATCCATTGTACATGATGCATTTTACTTGTGCAACCCTGATGTAGTATGTACTAGAACAAATAACAAAATAAACAAATATTTTGCGTTATTTCTCAACGTCTTGATCTTGTTACGATGATCCTTTTCAAGAGTATATGACATTCAGTTTTCAGGTTAATATTCAATTTTAGTACAGAAGGTGACCTTTATGATCATCCACTTCAATCATGATATAGAACAAAGTTTGATATTATTAAGGCGAGTAGTTTAGCGTATCAATCAAAGCAGCTTATTCAAGTTGTGCAAGTGAGATAGTACAAAAACAGGATGAAGAATTTAGTTCGACTACAATGCAGCTGTGAATCATTAAGAAGAAGGAACAATAAACTACTATTTAGGAAAGATGAATAACTTTAAAGGCCACCCTAAAAACTGCTGAAATGACCAATCAAGCCTCAGTATTTCACCTGGGAAAGTACTCTTCCATATAATAAAGGAATATCTCATCAGCTGCTCAGGTGGCCTATAAAATCACCCAAGAAAGATGAATATGTTCGGAAATAATAGGGGACTTTAAATGGCACCCTGGTGACTACTAAAATCAGCAAACAGATATCGGTATTCCGGTTAGATAGGTAGTTTTTTATAAGATAGAGAAGCCTAATTAGTTGTCTTAGCAGTTACCAGGGTGGCCATTACAGTCAATCGGAAATGATTACGTGGAGCGGTGTATGCTTCCAACCTTCGCCCTATATATTTATTTAGAACTTTCTATGTAGTCAGACACACAGACAAAATTAATGTAGAGTCTCGCGCACAAGTGCATCGGTTCAAGTTGTCACATTTCATAGTAGTTTGGAACGAACAAGAGGATAGGAAAATTCAATTTTGAGGTTTGAGGGGATTTATTTATTGATTTCAGGTTGGTATTCATCATATACTCACACCAGTTGGAGAAACATTAAAAACCTGGGAGCACTGGACAGTTGTTTCGTCCCAGTATGAGACTCTTCATACTTGTGTAGCTCGAGGTGAATGCTCTGGTATATTTATACAAATAGATTTGAGAATAATATCATTATGTAAACATCGAATACTGAAAACCTCTTTCAGGACACTCGTAACAACTATGGACTAGATGTTTATAATCTGATTAAATGTTGGGTCAAAATATCAATCGAATTCGTACAATCATCGTATTTTCAACAGACAAGGTAGCATCTCGAACCTTTCTACACGAGTGAATACACAAATATACTTTAAACTTTGAACATTATCGAGTTCGAATTAAAAACATTGAACACTTTCTGATTATGCTTGTTCATCAAGATCAGCTTCGTTCAATAATGACATTATGTATATGAATAGAGAATCTACATATTTTCAAAATGTTAAACAAAGACATATCCGAGAATTCGATCACCTAATAAATCCAAGCAAAATAAAGAAAAGGACTTAACAAATTAGAAGGTGGTACGCAATTTATCAAATAGACAACTAAGTGATAACGAAATGACATTACTTAAGAAGGGATTGAATTTTAATCTAACAAGAAGACCTTTGAAAGCGATAGAGCTGGCTCCCATTACAGAACCAGTTATATTGCTGATAGCAGAAGAAAAAACTGATATAGTATGACAAAAAGTCGGAAGTATCATCTCAAATCAGAAACTTGGTACATCAAATCTGACAAAGCAAGAACGTTATGCTTTAAACGCTTTGAAATCGGACAAATCAATCGTGACAACTAAAGCTGACAAAGGTAATGGTTACAGTTATTCTAAATAGCGAAGATTATAATAAAAAGGTATTGGAACATATTAACTCAGGTGCATATGAACCAATACCAACAAATAAGATTTCTAGTACATTAAACAAAGTCAAAGCTGAAACATGCAATTTACTCAGACAGTTAAAACCAAAACTGGGGAATGCAACATGGTTTTCGTTAGCCCTAAAAACGAATTCAATTGCAAGATCTTATGTGGTAGACCCAAAATACAGACATCCTGCTCAGAACAGTTGTTGAATTTCCTAGTTCAGTAACATATCGTCTATTCAAATTACTTGAAACCATTGCAATATGATATTACTTCAAACATTAGAAGCTCAGAAGAATTCAAAAATAAACTAATGGATAACACGATAAGAGAAGATGAAATTATGGCAAGTTTTGATGTAACTTCTCTTTATACCAGTATTCCTATAATTGATGCACTTAATATTGTAGAAAGTTTACTTGATAACGACCAAGTATTACTAAATGGATGTCCATTATCATCAGGAGACATTATGAAATGCTTAAAATTATGTTTAGAATCAACATATTTTAACGTTCAGCGACAAGTTATACCGTTAAACTAATGGCGTTGCGATGGGCTGGCTCCCCAGCATCTCTGACTGTAGCTAGTTTATATATGAAAGCATTCGAAGAAAAAGCTTTAAATGGTTTTCACTGTCAACCTAAGCTTTGGTATAGATATGTAGATGGTACCTTTATGATCATCAAGAAAACAGAACTTGAAAGCTTTTTACAACAATTAAACGGGATATCAAATCTCATAAAATTTACGAATGTAACCGAATCGTGTGCAGGAACGTTGCATTTCATAGACTGTCTTATTCAAAAAGAGCATCTGAAGGGGAATTTAAAATTAGAATTTACTGAGAGCTTACTCATCATCTTGATACATATATAAATTTTCAATCTGACCGTCTAATGAACGTGAAAACTACAGCAGCTTTGAACTCATTAAAATAGGGTTAAAAATATTGTGACGGATCCGGAGGATAAAAAAAGTGAATTTTCTAAAATGAAGGAAGTATCAATAGAAAATGACTATCCAAAGCATTTCCTGAACAATATTATCAAGAGGGATGACAAGAAGGAAACAGATAAGAAAGTAAGACAGAGAAGAAGTCATGGACATCAACAATGACAATTCCATACAGGAAAGGTACTTCAGAACAAATGCAGAGTTTGTGCAAACTATGGTATTAAGGTATATTTCAAACCTTCAAATTCTTTGGAGAAAGCCTTAGTCAAAGTGAAAGATGTGATTCCAAAGATGACACAAAACAACTGTGTGTATAAGATAAAATGTACAGAATGTGAAGTCAATTATATTGGTAAAAGTTGTAGACAACTGAAAATTAGAGTGAATGAGCATAGATTATGTAAAAAACACCCACCGAAGACTGAAGTGGAGTTGAAAAGTTTGGAAAAGAGGTCAGCAATAGCAATGCACGCCATTGAAAATGGGCACAAAATTGATTTTGACAGTGTTGACATATTAGGGAAGGGTTTCCTTACAAATAAACAAAGATTGATATGAGAAGCCGTGCATATCTTAACGTCAACAGATGCTTTAAACAGAAAGGGAGGAGTTGGTTTGTCACGTATCTGGCAGACTCTGATTCGTGAGCTAACAGAAGTTGGAAATATGGAGCATTGGATTCCGACCCAGTGGCTCAATGGTAGCGCGCTGGCCGCGGAACCTGAAGGTCGCGGGTTCGACCCCTGCTGGTGGGGTCGTGGGTGCGCACTGCTGAGGAGTCCTATACTAGGACGAAACAGCTGTCCAGTGCTCCCAGGTTTCCTTTGTTTCTCCAACTGATGTCAGTCTACGATGAATAACAACTTGAAAGACTCTAATTCAACAAAAACAGTAAAGAGGTCACCATTTCAAGTTGTACTTTTAAAAAGCAAAGAAACAAAATAGATCAATTATTGTGGATGTATAAACATATTTTTCATATTTTTATACGATAAACAATGAATGATACACATTTTCCATAGAAAATTGACACACACACACACGTTGATCATTGAATTGTTTCTTTGATGACAAATGATGAGGACTGTATGAGTTTACGATGACTAAATGGAAACAATCAGTCTGAACAACAAAACGGTTAACCGATGACATAGAGACAGAAATCCATACATGTACCGTTTGACGGTATATATTTTGATGTTGAATAAAAACTCGAATATTCTGCTGAATAGGCTGTGGCATACAATGAAAAGTTCGGAAAAATCTTGTTTTCGATTTTCTAAACACTCTGGGTTATATTAATGCTGACATATATAATTGGAAGAACAATTAATAAATGAAGAGGATTGGTAGAGGTTTGCTTGATATTTTGACTTTCATTATTTCCCTGAAGAAGGTCAAAAGAGACTTCCATGCGAAAGGTTTGAAGTATTTCATTTTAAACACGCTGTGACTTACACAAATACGAAGTATATATAATGTCAGCTTTATATTTGGCGACTAATATTCGCCATACTATCCGATCATACTTCATATAAATGTTGATGTTTATTGGTCGATTGCTGATTCTCAACAATTTACGGAATGAGTAATATTCACGTACACATCTCATGTTAAAGTTTCAAAACTTTCTCTTCAGTAATTATAAGTAAACATTTGGACTATTAATAGATTTTTTCTAGTTTGATGAACATTACGTTATCCTTTTATGCTCGTGCTGCTATGAATTAAATGCATCTTTTATTGTAACCAAATCTGGGTAAGTTTAAAACATTTACAAGTGAATAAAAGTCATAAAATATCGTGAATTCCTTTTACGAACAGAAAATCCACATATTAGGTTACATAACAAAGACTTAAAATCGAAGAAGACTTTCTTTTCAAGTATTCCATTCATGTATGTACGACTACTAACAAGCAGATATATTAGTTTGATCCAAACATCAAAGTACAGAAAGTCAAGGTGAATTGGACAATTGAGTCACTTTGAAAGCTATCTTTCTCTGACTAGAGAACAGAACCTTGTACGTTCGTTGCTTGTTGAATGATTCAGAATATTTACACTGAACCTGGAATTAAAAAGTGATATTGCAGGTGAAATCCTCAAAAATCACCTCTCAAGACCCTTGAGAAAGATATTTCATGCAACTAGCCTGAGAATCGCTCTTTCCAGTAGATAATTAATCCATCATTTCAATGTGTATCTATTACAATTAGTAGTTTCCCGTGAATCAAAGTACATTAGCCGTAGAGTCAATTCCATGGAAGTATCTCATACAATTTTTCAGCTTGGTTTTGACGAAGAGACAGAGAGAGAGAGAGAAAGAGAGCAAAAGTACTAACCATCCTCTCTATGAACACCTCTTCATTTCCGAACATACAGCTCATCCTAGAAGTTCTTTTAAAGTAACTTTCAGGGCAACTTTCAACAGTTCCAAAGGATTCCCGATTACTTTATGCATAAATAGCCAAATGATTGCCAAATTCATAACTTCAAACATGATCTTTGTTCTCAGAAAGATTATGCAAAATCATTAACCTTAGCTAAAGTAGTAATTTCTTCCAGTCTTTAAAAACTTTTAATCACGCAACCCTATTGATTACCAATAACAGACTGTTATTTGTTCTCAACAATTATCAAAAACCCCATTATACAGATATAGTGAATGAAATCATCGAAAAGAAAATTGTCTTCGCTGTCTTGTCTTTCTTCAATGAATTTATCCTGTTTTGTATATTTTATGTATCCGTCTTCGGTAAAAATAGGCATTAATTACTTATCTATTGCAGTGGAATACTGTTTAACCAAATAGGACTGAAAACTTACATTGACTTCTTCCATAAATGGTGGAAATCGACAATTTGAAATCACATCTTAGTGGACAAAAGCAATCTAGCACACCTTTTTTTATATCATGATTCCTGGTGATCAAGTTAAATAAGATGAACAGATAACCTTGATGATTCTCCACTCTAACTTTGTGTACTCTGAAGTTCCCCTTCCCCCTTCCACCACCTCAACTAATTCTACAAGCTTACCCTGGTAGCAGGACAAATTACTCGTCTTATAATCGAATTTTATTATGTAATTTTATTTATTCACGGTGTTTTCAGATTAGCAGAGTGACATTACCGGTATAGAATCTGACGTTACTGCGTAACGGTTTACATTGGTGCATACATCTCGTACATTATTATATCAAAATAGAGAGGAACAAGAAACTCAAAAAACATATATGTGGAAGTAATAATATTAAAAGGTATCAAAAGTTAATAAGACTGTTTCAATATTGTTAATTTTACGAATTGGTTGTTCTCATGACTTACTTGTTTGATCTTATTCATTTAACGTTACTTTTTTTAAACGTAAAGTTGAATATATTTTATATGAGCCACAGTTCTTTTGATACTTGGGAACATCACTCATTGGGGTGTAGGTACATCTAACTGACGAGTCACAAATGGGACGAAACGCGTGTCTTGGATTCCACTGCTAATCACCAAGATGAATACAAAACCATGAATATCCGGCAGTATTGAGATATCCCCATATGCCAACAGAGGTCGATCGATTCGGCCCTGTATAGCAATGGGGAATTACAAGTATCGAACGACACAACGAATGATACCCGTTGCACAAGAGGTGGCTGTTGTGCCGGAGTGGCTTAGTGGATAGCGCTCTGGAGTTTGAAGGGATGTGTACTGAGTTCGGGTCTCAGTAAGAACAATACCACTCACTGGGGGTGCATGTATACCTAGTTGACGAGTTCCAAATATAAAGAAACATGCGTCCTGGATTCCACTGGTAGTCACCAAGATAAATGAACCACTGTTATGTTCAATAATCCTGCACATCAAAGGTCTGACAAAACATTGAATTTTTTTCACCGAAATCTTATGTTAAACACGTCAAAATATAGTCAATGAATATTACTACCTTAAACTATTAGGCACTTTTTAATCCCACCATAAACTGCCAATGCTGATGTGTACGAAAGTTGAACGGAAAGTCAGTCAGACCACTACTTTAAATAGTTTAACATGAATGCTACGCTATTATTACCATTATTGTCACAGTGATTAAAAAAACCATGAATTATTACAAAGTACCATATAAAAAAGCATTAACAGATGCTAACCTTCATTATTAAATGCTGATTTGGCCAAAACACGATCAACATCTGTATAACGCAGATCCTCACGTTTCTTTCCACTCACCAGATGCTCGTATGTACGCCGATTGATATAATTGCCCCCAGCATTACTTAAGTAGAGAGAGAGGGGAAACAATAGTGATAAATACACGAGGAGGAGTACAGCTTAAAGTCTGGAAGTTATCTTTTTCATCCGCATTGAAACTGCGAACTAAGATGAGCAGTTTCAACTTCAAGCTAAATAGCATAAGCTTTCAAGTGGAAGTACACCTTGCAATGAACAAGGATTACCAACAGCCCAGCGCTGGAAATTTATCGTATATAAAGATCTGAAGTAAACTGGTTCTTTAAATAGTCATTCTAATTCAACAGCGTGATACGGTTTGATAAGCTACAGTTCGTCAGATACACAAAAAACCAATTCCGGAACTCAGCCACTAGCAAGTAAGAATCAGTTAAAATAAAGAGGAAATAAATGTGTTTGTTATCACTTCGAACTGATGATGATAACCATGGCAGAAAATCATGAGTATTTATAGCATTTTATCAAGTGACATTGAGAACCAGCTATTCCAACAGTCCGTTTATAGGGCCAGATTTACAACTGTGAAAGTTGAAACTTACCAACACTTACCGAAACCAAGATTGATTAACAACACATCCCTAACTGAGTTAGTAAGGGCAAATAAGCATTCAAAACCCAAGAAGTATATGCTTCACACTATCAGAAATTTAAACAACAACTCATTATTTAGTATTGGATTTTGATGAATGATATCCAGGAAATTTAGTTGTGATTACTATGATATTTTTAGTATCAACCTGTGGTTTTAAGACAGTAAAAATAGCGCTGATTTGACATAGGAAGTGACAGTCATTGTAAGTCGCTATTCACCGTATGAGTACCAAGAAATGCGTCATACAAAATAATATAACAGTAATAGGATATAAAAGTGGTTAGGAGGGAAGAAAAGAAGACCAACTGACGAAAAATGAAATTTCCAAGATACATTCAAGGAAGCATTTATTTTTTTTACTTTTCGATGACTGAAAAAGTCAGGAAAGCCACATGATCGCCACTGCTTGCGATTCTGAACCTCGCCTGATAACTTTTCTAGCAACTGAGTAGCAAAACCTTTCGAACTCGACCCATGCAGTGACCAGGCACTTACATATGTTAGCCAGATACAAATATCCTTCGTCTTACAACACCACTTCGCATTCAGACTGCATATCCGTTTCTTTTAAGTAGTCCTTACGTTGGTAAACAGTGAATAGTAAGAAGGCCATTGGGATGACGTTTGTAACACATGTCCAAGTAACCGCAGTCAATGTTTCAAAATAACATCATCCAATGAATAACGACCTTCAGAAGGCTTGAACATGCATCACCGCATTTTGGGATCACTGACATGGTGGTTCTACTAGGTGCCAACAATGCCTCATCAATAATTACAAGCAAACGAGCAGATTTACTCGACATCTTCTGGTCAAGTTTCACAAGCATAGAAGCAATGCTGCACATATCCACACATCTCGCACTCAACCCTTTGCAGTTAGGCCAAAATAGTGGTGAAGCAAAAGATGACCAGGGTTTGTGCATACCGCTTTAGACTGTGATAAAGGAATGGTAGTTTCATTAGTTACTTCCTCCACTGACACTTATAAAATCACCCACATACACGAACTTTTAGATAATATTTAACGGTTTACTACTACGGATAAATGCAGGTAAACAGTCTTGGTAACCTCTTCGGAGCATATTGCCCTTTTCAGTACAAAGCGGTACCTACATATGGACACCGATAGCTAACTGACTAAGTGCGATGCGAGTAGCTTGTATTTTGTTTGTATATGCAAAGTTAAACAGTCTTTCTTCTGGTGAAAGAGCTACCCATCTGCACACTCCTTAGAGCTGTCTCGAGAAAGACAACGGTGGCAAAGTTAGAGAGGAATGGCAGAAATGGACATTCCTGCCTAACCTCACTGTCGCTGTGAGAAGTGGTTGTAAGCCATCACTCTGTCCTAGAAATGTTGACAAACTTCTCGAAAACACTCTTTAATAACACACAATTCCAGAGTACAATGGAATACATGAATCGAGGAGATAGTATATGATACTAAAATAACTTGCTGGTATATCTAAAAGCATTGGGTGTAATCAACTTAAACAGATTGTCTAGACGGAAGATGGAGGTGTCCAAGAAAAAAAATCGATAGTAAGTAAGCCAGTAGAAAGGATTGAAATTTTGAAGATGAATATTTACACTTCAATTTGCTTGCTACACAAATGAATGTAGCAACCAGAAAATGAATATTAGAACAATTTATTCGAAACTCAGTTATGCTGAATTTGAGGACCCAGCTTAAAGACATCCAATTAAACTTGGAGCATTCACCGAAATATTTTCATACGTGCTGGATTAGATTATTTATGGGTGAAAATATTGGGATTTCACGAAGTAACAGAAATGATAACCACAAAAGATTATCATATTACAATGAGATGTTTTATGAGGTTTCAGTATGGATAAAGGAAGTAAAAACGATACAAAAACAGATAACGACGGTTTACTGGAACCTTAAGTCTTTAGAGTGTCCGAAAACAAGAAAGTTTTTTTTGACAACATACTAGGGGAGAGCAAACAAGCATAATCCAAACTGAGTAGGGCACAACCTGACAAAACTGCATTGGTTCAAGTAGGTAACTCGTGAAATAGCACAGAGAAGAGAAATTAGGGAAAGAAATAGAGATACAAGAGAAAAATGGTGAGAAGATAAAAGAAAACGAGTTATGAGATAACACTGAATCTTCTCTCTCAACAAAAAATGAATAAATATAGCCTAAACATGAGCATTCGTTGAGCAGTAACACATTGACTATATGAAGGTCAATGATGCCACCTGGTTGTCAAAGCTTCAGTAAGTAGAAAGAGGTTGGAATCCATGTCAGAAGTTGAAATGATACACATGTCTTCAGTCAGTAGTTTCCAATATCATGATGACTTTCATGGAACCCAGATCAACAACTAGTGGTTTCAAGTTGTCGTGTCCCTTTCTCTGACCACCCTGAAGCTTTTATACTCCATTATACTACACGAAGCATATCAATGTAGGCATCGCTTTGCATGTGCACAACATGCCTATCAGTATGTAAAGCAGGTATGTACCACGTTTGAATCGATTATTGTACTGTTTGGTACCGTTGAAACAAGATACAAGTATCTCTTATTTTATGTGCTTTATTGTCCTTAAGGTAGTATTCATCATGGACTGACATCAGTTGAGGGACCATTGAAAAGCTAGGAACACTGGACATCTGCTTCGTCTTAGTATGGGACTCCTTAGTAGTAGGGGTACCTTCAGGTTTTACGGCAAACGTGTTAACCATTCAGCCACTGGGCAAGAGTTCAAAAGTCCACAGTTTCCCTCTTTGTCAGTTAGCAATTTAGTATATATATATATATATATATATATATATATATATATATATATATATATATATATATATATATATATATATATATATGAATTGAATCCATAGCCAAAACCAAACAAATATCACAATGCCATAATTAAACTCTAATTACTTCAAAACCATGAGAACGGCATGACATTTTATTCCCCATCTGCAAGGTCAACAAGTAGATATGTCAAAGACAATGAGGTTTCAGAAGTGTAGTATGTAGTCAAGATGAATTTTTAATTGGTATTATGCAAAAGTAGAGATGGATTATGAAATGCAGAGGGCATCCTTTTGATGAACATAAGTATTAGGATATCGTCTACTAGTCACTGAAACAAAAGATCCAAATGCTGTCTAATTTAAAATCATTAGCATTGCCTAGTTTTACAGTTATCGGTTAGTCGATAAAGGAAACAGAAAACATTTAACGTAGACACTGAAACGTACCTTAAAAAATGAATATTGATCTCCTAAAATCTACACCTTCAACTGACTCACGAACTTCTAATATAGGTGCTAATATATCCAATATCCCATTGGGCATGTTATGCATTTCATCAAAAACAAATATTGATGTAGGACATTCTGATACAGCTGCGTGAAGCTCTCGATAAAGGCGTTCCTACAAAATATTAAATACAAGTAATAGATGCTGAGACTTATAGATAAACTTCTAACTTTATACCAACTGAAATTTCCTAGTGGCTGAATTCAGCTGGTGATTTTACCATTCAGAAAATAACATGCTTTGGTATATGTATAACTTCATGGACTGATGTCTAGTCTAGACACCTCTAACCTTTTTCTAGCCTAAACTTTACCTAAAATTGTGCAACGGGGCAGATGGTGACTAATTGTGCATAACACATATCCCGGACATATGGGTTAATGAACTTTTACAGCCTCACCAACAGACTTCATTTTTCTATCTAAAACTCTGTGCTCAACTTTTGCATCACTGACGGAGTGGTTTCATGACGTATGCTACGAAGACAACGCCGGTCGAACGCTTGAAGCTCCATTATTTCCTCCACTTTTAATGACCATGTTTTGCAGTCACACATACAGTAAAACATATCAAAATGCTGCGCAGAAAATTCGGTCCTCCATGGGTAATTTATTAGTACGGTTGCAGCGTAAATTGAATAAGGTGGCAAAGGTCAATCCAACCTTTTTTTCCGTGAGAGATTTCATTGGCTACTGACTGGCCAGAGTTGATCAGACTTCCCAGTAAATGGTCAACGCGCTCAGCCACTTTATTCTCTATTTCTAACCGAGATACCAGTCCACAAGTAACATTTTGCATTTGGGTGGTAAAAAGTGCATTCCAAAGTTCATCAGTGTTTTCAGAAGGGTGCATTTAATCAACATCTTTCTTTTAACAAGACTATTTCATATGCGTACTCTAGACCTATTAGGAGTCCCCTGTGACAGGGTCACTCTGCAAGATCAGGCAACGAGAGGGAGACCTTTATAAGTACGTTTATGATAAAGTTGAATAGGAATATAAAGAATGTACACCGCTTACGGACACCATCGTAGGGTATAACACATCTAGGTATGATGGAATACAGTCTTCACTAGGGTGATGAACTTGCCCGGTACCCATCTCAGTGAAGGCCGTCACCAGATCTCTCAGCTGAAGGAGTCGGATGTCTCTTTCAGATTAAGAAATACAACCAGTCTCTCACATTCGTGCCTGTGTTTAAGTTCTGGAAGAGAATGAAGATTTTGTCAGCGCAGATGAAACTACGTCTGAAACCCGCTCGATTTTCTGAGGTTTTCTATTCTGAAGCCTTTCCCAGGAACTTAGATACAAAGCTCGTCAAACTGGTTCCCCCGAGGTTATCAAAGACTGGTTTCAGGTCTTTCTTGAAGATTAGGACAATCAGCGATTGAGATCAGTTAGAGAGGATCGTATCTGATTTTTACTTCAATTAATCTAACCAGTAACCCCTAAGATTCAATTTCAAATACCTGTGGTACACAAACAACAACGCTTGTTGCATGACAAACTCATATCGTGAATTCGACGAGTCATTTCACTATTATATTACAGCTGTTGTTGTTCCTACATTTGAAATGTATTATTCTACCGTAGTCATCTGTACATTTACCTTTTTTGAAAAATTGCTCATCAGTGTCCGAACTTCATGTTAGTTTTCATTATTCGGAGTCGCTAATAAGTTGATTAAACACATCTGTCCTCTAGCAAGTCATTTAATCTAACCATCCTGAAACCATATGTACTGTTTATGCTTAATGTCTTGAATTTTTCCGACTTGAATAAAATTAGACAACACAGACTTGGATTAAACCCTAGAAAGCATCACTATTGATATGTATTTTATTCCAAGGACCATGATATAAAACCCCACTGGAGTGCTTTAATCAAGTTCTTTTACATGCAGGTTAAAAAGTACGTTTATGTTCGAATATACTACAGAATCGGCTTCTAGCAACGTTGGATTTAGCGGCGCACTAACTACTAAAGACAAAGTTGCACAATTCGACTGCATCCGCAATAGAAATCATCTGTATATTGTTATGCTTGAAGGGTCAGTCAGAGTAAAAGGTGACAAGTGAGAAAAATGTATATTCAGTAGATACTACATCGGAACATAACCAGGGTGCGACTGGGGATGAGTCTTACCAACACTTGTGTACACTCAACAAATATATTGTGGTTCCAGTCGGAGATTCAATATACGATCCTGATGTCTGGGCAAGGAGGAGAGTTGTTCCGTTGATTCAACTAGAAGTAGCCGGCCGTACACCAGATGGTAGAGGTCATATAAAGTTTTGCATAAATCGTAATTATTTTGTAGTCAGCACAGTGATGGCCGCCATGTTAGCATCCTGATTATGAAAGTCAGGTCTGAAATCAAACAGACCATATTACAATGATATGGATAGTGTGGGTGTATTCAGAGTTGGAAATGCCATTCAGGGCAACAACTTGGGATCTGACCATGGTATAATGTATGTTAATGTATTTTGCTTCCCGATTATTTTAATCTCCATGCTATACGGAAGAATGTAAGCGACTCGATTACGTTGCAAATAAATATCCAATTAGGCTTTGTGTAAGGTCAATCGCTGTTTATTCAAAAAATGTAGATGAAAACCGATTTTACACTCAAACGTCCCGTTAATAAATGCTAGACGCCTAAGTGCTCCTTGCAACTTCTGGAACCTAATTCATCTAGTCCCGCTGGTGGCAAGAACAATGATCGATTGCAGTCTATCAGTCTAGTCACTTGACTTCCGACTAATGTTTCGCGCGCTCAAGACCTACCATACCAGAAAGGTCGATTGGATGGTGATAAGGCAAAAAGCAGCTACCGTCATAGAATATTAGATAACGCTATGATAGGGTCCCAAAGGCGAAGCCGTGCTGCTAACTGGACAGGGTGATAGCAGTAGGATGCTTCCAGCGGATGGCCAGCAGTATCATGCTGATGCTGCTTCCCCTGAAAAGGGGAGTAAGTAGAAAAGGTCGATGCCGAAACAGTAGACTCCCCCCTCAACTGTGATATTCTGGCATCAGCGATGCGTTTTTCTTTCTTGACATTAGCACATGAAAATATCACTTCAGCGATCCTAAAAATGGTGTGAAAGGCTCATAGCAGATGTCTTATGAAGTCTGTGGTCAAACAAATTTGTTGCTTTCTCTCTCTCCCCGAACACCTTGCTGAAACAACTCTGTGTCGGCAGGCGAGAAATACCAACCGCCTGCACACTTTCAATGGTCCTCAAAATCTAATCAACCACAACTTACCCTCCTTGTATTTGTCAACTGGCTTGCCTTTACTTCCTTATAACAGAGTTAAGATCCTTAGAACCTGTTCAACCTCTGGCCCTGCAACCAATACAGATGATCATAAGTAGTTAAACATAACTTCTAGAGTTAACGTGTGAATGGTGATCGCTAAACCCCAAGTCCGTAACGCACGAATAACAAAAGCCCAGAACGAAATTACTGAAGCTAACTAACAAGGCAGTACTGTAAATAAGGATTGTAGCCAGAATCACAATAATCAATATCTTCGACTGTGGCGCTTTCGTGGGGAAAATCGAGGAATCAATTAGAAAGGGAACTAATAAAATCTAGGCAAATAAGCAACAAATAATGAATAGGACTGGTCCATACACGAAATCAATCAGAGATATAAAGACAGGCAAGCAAAAAGGTTACAAGTGCAAAAATAAATAAATAAATACAGTGTCAATCAAACGGAAAGGGTGGGTAGGTCGGGGATTGAGAACACAACTTGGAGCGCGAAGGCCAACACAGAGGTGGACAGGCACAGTTCAGTCAACACGCCTTAAGCCAGCATGGCTTTCCTAATTAGTATCCACTATCCAGAAGCCAGCTGCTGGCGGGAATGGTACAATTAACTCTTGCCACAACCGAAAATGTTGTCATGGTGGGTATACCAACTCATTTCATTTCTAACTCTTACAGAAAACATAGTTTATGTCACGTCGCGGTAGTCCTAATGATGTTTCAATCATTGCGTCCAGCACATTCCAATAGTTTTCCGCTATCGCATTTGCGAATACTTCTTTCGGCCACACTCCACAAAGTTGGTTTTCTCTAATGAGACCTACTTATCAAACTTTATCGTCCCTGATGGGCACAATCTTTGCTCGTTAAATCCCAAAGTGTCTGGTGAAGCTCTGGAAACAGCTTTGCGGACCTCATCTTCGATAACTTCACTTCCCAAACTAGTATGTCGCCATCCAGCACTAAGTCTCCACTGCAGGCAAGTTAACATGTCTCCAGTAGCAGGTATTTTTTCTGATGTACGGTAAGTATGACGTTGAGTATATGGTCATAAAACGATGGATACAGTGGTAACGCTCTCATCTGAAAGACTGAACAATTTGGTAGATTCAACGTAGTAATATTTCTTTTCGAAAGATATACGAATAAACATCTGTAATTTGACTTGAGGGTGACGTAACCTTGCTTTATAAAAGAATCCGTCGTTTCACAACTTATCCTGCTCCTATATAAACGATCATTGCAACTGGCACTGTCGTCCGAAAGGCAACTGACAGTCGTCTGTTAGGGATCCAGTCACCAAACTCACTCACTGACTCACTTTCTATCATGAACACATCATAACTGAGACAACTTCTAGTTGCATGGAAGGTTGTGTTGTTACGTGAAAATCTGTTACCCGGTTCCATATAAATAGAGCAACTATCACGGCCTCTGGTCTTATTTAGCACCATGCTATCGTAAACCGAACGGCAGACACCACTACTCAGAACTCTGGAATCTCAAGCTATGGATGTATGCTGTATTCCTATAACACGTGTTGGGGCAAGTGAACTTGATCTCACCTGGCCAATATAGTGAACCTTTAAAACCCAGTTCACAAGTGTTTGACGATTTAGTGGTTGGCTCTCTTAGACTCTATAGATAGTACTACGCTGTAGAGTAGAAAGCACATTTCCCGACTAGATACCAGTCAGCAGTCACCTATGCACTGTCCAACCGAGTGGATAATTAAGAACTGGGAAGGATTTTGAGGCCAGCTGATGTTGATTCATAACCTTCGCTTACGCGCTAACCGGCTGCCATTTGGACGATCCAAAAGATTATTTCTATCAAGATTTGTCAATTTTGCTACGCAAAGCAAAACGCTCAGATATAGTTATAACGGCAGGTGACTTCAAAGCTAAAGCAGGTATGGTGATTTAAAAGGAAAAGCATCTTAGAAGTATTTACGGAATTCCATGCCAACGAACCGACAACGGTGACCACCTCTAATATTTCTGTCATGACAATCACTTGTTTCTGACCAGCACTGTCATAAAGTATAGGGGAGACATACTATCTCACTTAGTACCAGGCCAATGGTTAACATAGAGAGATGATATTGCTGTAAGCCAACGTTGGAGAGGACAGGTGGAAGATTGGCGCTCTTTCTGGACTGATACCACACGATGGTGAAGATGAGGACATCATGTACGTTATCGAAGCATTTAGCTGAACGTGATGGCAATTCTCATCTTACTAAAGCATGACGTGATATTTAGTCGGCTGTAGAAACTAATGAAGTTGATACCCTAAATGCAAATGTTAGCAAACGTCAGTGTACTCCGGCAACGTTATCCGAACCGTGTGATACTACAAATGATACCAGCTGCCTTTAAACACAATGAAGAACGAAAGTAGATCAAACGTTAATTGGTCAAGGATCTTCGCAATGATGGTAAGCAGTAGTGCGTGGCGAAAGCGAGAGCTATTACATTTTGCAGGACACAACGACCCATATGTCTTTTGGGTAGGTGAAATTCGTAACAGTCGTGCTTGTCGCAAAGTACCTACCAATTCAGATGTTCGGCAGGTAGTCTTAAGAAGCAGCTGACCTAAACAGTGAAATTTGCCATCACAAATATATACTTTTAGAAAATAACAACTTCGAGTTTTTGAAACAATTCTAAATGACTGGAATAAATCCAATGGGTTAGAAGTTTACAAGCCCAGCGAACCGTAAAAGAAGGTGTGAACTTCAAGCAACAAATCTTCAACTTGCAGTTGGTAATGTGGAGCTTAAAAGATACTAACATTCCACTGCATTCGAAGAGCCTGTAGATTCTTAAAAGCATCTAAGCACCAGTATAGACTAACCTTGTATTCTGATATCTGACTTGAATGCTTAAAGTGTATGGTTGTATCATAGAAGTGATAGAATCTACTGCGCGTTCCCAACTTTAAGATATTATTGACAATAATATTGGCAACAAAATTCTTTCCGACACCTGTGTAGCCATGAAATGACAACGCCAGAGGCTTCTGTGGCAAACCACCGCTCATGTAATCCAAAATGTGGTGGTATATACGTTGAGATGCAATATGCTGGCCATGTAACTCATCCCATAAAGATCGTTCCAAACCTAGAAGTGAATACTTGAGTAAAAACAACTTACTTGTCTTATTGAAATACACAGCTCCAGAACAGCATTCATGCAATAAGCAACTAAGGCTTTCCTTGTAAATTATTCCTGTTATTGCTACTGAGAATGGTACCAAAGCAATAAAAGGAAAGGCTTCACAAGCTCCAAATAAGATAAGAAGCAGCACGTTGCAACGCATGCATCTAAGAAGCCCGCGTATCAGATTTCAAGTTTCATAAGAAGCGAACTGGAAGCCCTTAGGTTCCGTTTAAATGGCATTCTAAATAAATCTGAAATGTAAAATTTTAGTAATTATGTGATGCATCAAGTGTTTAGGAGTCACGTTGCTGACTGCTGGTTGTTCGTGATTTATCTCTTCGGCTTCAGGACAATAAGGTCACTTGATGAAACAAATAGGGCTACCCGATATTTCATTATCATCATCTGTCGTGCACTTCGACCCAATTTCTCCTTAGGATTGCTAGAAACCTTTCATTGACTCTAAGATATGTCCAGCCTTCAGAGTCCCCAGACGAGTCGCTAAAGAAATTTAGTCCCACTGATTTTGTTTCCGCTCTCTATCTTCGGCTTCTGCGGTAAAAAAAAGACAACAACAACACTGTTGGCTTCAGCGCCTAACATATATGCACTAGGATCGTTTTTAAACTCTCTTGTCTTGATATAACTGATTGGTTCTAATTTTCTCACCGATGCATCCGCAGTGGGCTGAGAAATTTCCTCCACTCCCCAGTGCTTAGACGAGTTGAGTTGATCATTTTCCATGGATCTGCCTTCGCATATTGTGGACTGAGTCACTAAGTAGGCCACGGCCTTCAAAGACAATTAAACGTCTTTCTGTGATTGCTGACTTTACAGCTGCCTGACGCAAAAAAGGTTGGTGTGTTACAAATAAGGTGTTGTAGCGTCACACACTTCCCTAAAATTAATAGCCGAGGGTTTGACGAGATTCAACACTGATGCTGACCATCACAGTTTAACTGGACTCACTAAACTGAAGGCACTCAGTCAAGCATCTGTAGCGTCATACACTTCCCCAAAATCAATAGCCTAGGGTTTGACGACTTCGACATTGATGCTGACCTTGATAGTTTAACTGGACTCGCTAAGCTGAAGGCATCCGGTCAAGCATCCTCGCCATTTGGCACGCTGTCGTGTTACGTTGCATTGCTCGTATTCGACTCTCTAGCCAGTTAGTTGGAACGCATCGGTATTTTGGCATAACCATCCAAATATACTATTCCATCCGACTACGCTATCGTGTTCTTCCTTGGTCTCGTATTCGTGGGTATATAACAAGTTCGAATAATTAGTGATTGGTCTTTGCGTCTGTCAAGTTCGCACCAGGACAAATCCTAAATTGGTGAGCCCGACGTGATCAAATATCCCGACGTGATCACATATCCCGACCAATAGCAAGTATTGAATTGGTGAGCCTGTTCCATTTTATATTTGTTTATTGTTTTCATTTCGATAACATTTATATATCCATTTACTACACTTTCTCATGTCCGACCACACTCCCAAGCTTATTCGTATTAAGCCGACCTCGAACACGATCCAACTCGTGCCATATTGGCCAGACAATGCAGAAACATGGTTTCTGTATGCCGAGGCCGATTTTCGAGAACAGGGTGTCTCAGATCCTCATTCTCGATTTCTTGCTGTCATACGTTCACTACCGCGAGAATTAAACAGGTTTGTTACAGCAAACATGTTTAATCCTGAAGTAAGTGACCCTTATGCACTTCTAAAGGCTGCACTCTTGAAGAAAAGCGATCTCACAGATCGCCAACGTCTAGACGAATTGCTTCGTAACATCGAGCTAGGCAGCCACTCAGCTACTGAAGTCCTCGCACGCATGCGAGAAGTAATCGGTGCACGAACATTTGACGATGGTTTCTTCCGAGAACTATTTCTCTCGAAACTACCACAACCGGTGCAAACCGTGTTGGTGACACTCCAGTCAGTCCCACTCGACGACCTGGCAGCTTCAGCAGATAAAATACTGGAGATATCCAGCAGACCCGTCTCCAACGTATATTCTATCTGCGACAAAACAGAGCGCCAGGATTCGGAGGTGACCAAGTTGTGCAACTCTGTGAAACGGTTGCTACGATCTCGAAGTCCTAGATCACGTAGCACTTCACAGAAACGCACCTTGGCGCATCGCAGCAAGTCGCGTGGTAGCCCTAAAACGAAACCCAACAGGGTGGAAAACCCTGAATGGTGCTGGTTTCATAACACTTACGGGGATGAAGCCAGAAAATGTCGTAAACCATGCCGTTTTAAGAAGGACACGAACTCGGGAAACGGTCACGCCGGCACGTGCTCACGGCAACCGTAGCCGGCGGAAAAAGCCGTTTGCTCTACGTCACCGACATTAAAACGAAAGTCCGCTACCTCGTCGACACCGGCGCAGAAGTTAGCGTTCTTCCAGCAACGACAAAGGAGCGTCATCTCGACCCATCCTTCAATCTTCAAGCAGCCAACGGCAAGGCAATCGCGACATTCGGGAGACGGTATGCCTACCTCAACTTAGGTTTACGCAAACCTATTCACTGGATTTTCCTCCTGGCAGACGTCTCTATGCCTATCATTGGCATAGATTTGCTGAACCATTACGATCTACTCGTAGATGCTCGCCGTCGACGACTGATAGATAACAACACAAAGTTATCTATTGGCGGCACCACCTATGTAGGTCCGAGTTTAGCCATCGTTAGGACTAAACAATCAGACGACGCGTCCTACCAGGCAGTTCTGGAGAAATATCCAGAGTTACAACAACCGAAACACACTCTTCCGTGCATAACCAGCAATGTTATGCATCACGTCACAACCACAGGTCCACCTGTGGCATCCAAAGCTCGCCGTTTAGCCCCCGATAAGCTGCAAACGGCGAAAAATGAATTCGACCATATGCTGGAACTGGGCATTATCAGACCGTCAAACAGTCCTTGGGCATCGCCATTGCACATGGTGCCCAAAAAGGATAGCAACGACTGGCGTCCGACCGGTGATTACCGAAGGCTTAACGCCAAAACAACTCCGGACTGCTACCCTATACCCCACGTTTACGACTTGACCGCAACCTTATGCGGCATGAACATTTTCTCGAAAATCGACTTAGTCAAAGCGTACAACCAGATACCTATGGCAGCAGAAGATATCGCGAAAACAGCCATTATTACTCCTTTTGGCCTGTTTGAATTCCTGCGCATGCCTTTTGGTCTTCGGAATGCAGCACAAACATTCCAACGCTTTATGGACGACGTCTTCCGTGGTCTGAATTTTGTTCATGTCTACATAGATGACTGTCTAATTGCGAGTCCAGATAAGGAAACACACCTTAAACATTTGGACCTCGCATTCGAAAGACTCAAAAAACATGGCATCACAGTTAACTTACAGAAGTGTGAAATAGGAGTTGAATCACTCAGCTTCCTTGGGCATACCATTGACAACAAAGGTATACGCCCATTGAGAGATAAAGTGGCGGCTATCACAAACTATCCAGAGCCGACCACTGTGAAACATCTCCGCACTTTCAATGGCCTGGTAAGTTATTACCGAAGGTTTATCCCTAACTGTGCCTCTGTCATGAGACCACTCACAGATCTACTTCGAGGAACTGCGAAGTTCGTGTCTCTGGACAACGCGGCTAGACTTGCTTTCTCCAAAGTCAAGGAAGCCATTTCGAACGCAACCATGCTTATGCATCATGACCCCAATGCTCCTCTGAGTATTGCTGTTGATGCATCTGATTCAGCAATTGGAGCAGTTTTGCAACAGTTGACTGACAACCAGTGGCAACCGTTAGCCTTTTTCTCGAGGCGGCTGCAAGACGCGGAAACAAGATACAGTACATTTGGTAGGGAACTCCTAGCCATGTACTGTTCTGTACGCCATTTTCGACATTCTGTGGAAGGTCGTGATTTCATTATTTTCACAGACCACAAACCGTTAACGTTTTCCCTCAGCTCGGCGTCTGACAAATACTCCCCTCGTGAGTCGCGACAGCTGGATTACATTTCCCAGTTCACGTCAGACATCCGCCACATTTCTGGAGCAAACAACTCCGCAGCCGACGCACTATCTCGAATAGCTTCGATAAACTATATCGAGGGTATTGATCTCGTTGAACTAGCTCGGCGTCAAAAGGAAGACCTTGAGCTGCATCATGAGTTGTCGTCCACAACTCTCAAACTGCGACTTTGTCCTGTTGGATCAGACAAGGATGCAATTTTGTGCGATGTCTCTGCTAGTCAACCACGCCCAATAGTTCCGAAGAGTTGTCGACGCAACGTCTTCAATACGTTGCACAAACTCTCTCATCCAGGTGTACGAGCCACCATTAGGCTTATCGCACAACGTTTCTGCTGGCCTGGGATGAACAAAGACGTTAAGGAGTGGGCCCAGTCGTGCTTAGCTTGTCAAAAGTGTAAAGTCACGCGACACACGAAAAGCCCTTTAGGCTCATTTCTAGCCCCAGACATGCGTTTCGACCACGTCCATATAGATATTGTAGGACCCCTACCAGAATCTAATGGATGTACCTACCTTTTCACCTGTGTTGATCGTTTCACACGATGGCCGGAAGCAGTACCCATTAAAGATATTACTGCCGAAACAGTTGCTCGTGTTTTCGTCGAAAGATGGATCGCGAACTTCGGATGTCCATCCTACGTCACAACCGACCGTGGGCGCCAATTTGAGTGCGGACTATTTCACGCTCTAACGGCACTTTTAGGTTGCACTCGGTTCCGAACGACAGCCTACCATCCACAAGCAAATGGCATGGTAGAGCGTTTCCATCGACAGCTGAAAGCTTCCCTTTCAGCTACAAACATACCTCAGTGGACCGAGGCTCTGCCTCTAGTCCTACTAGGTATTCGTAACGCGTTGAAAGTTGATGCTGGATGCACTCCTGCAGAACTCGTCTATGGGACCACTCTTCGCCTACCAGGTGAGTTTGTTTCCCCTTCAACTTTCAAACATGTTTCCGACAGGGCATCTTACGTGACTAGGCTTACAAACGCAATGCGTTCAGTTAGGCCTTCTCCGATTAGACCGCAAACGACTGATGTTTTCGTCCACCCCAGTTTACAGAAGACATCACACGTGTTTGTTCGCCACGACGCTGTTCGTCGACCACTTGAACCACCCTACGACGGGCCG